AGCAGGAACACCTCGTCTGAATGACACTTTTATTAGTTTGTATTAGGCGGGGAAAATGAACTGCAGAGTCATAAGTCTTTGTAGACAGAACTCTGGCCATAGCCAGGCCATCACATGATTGATAGAGATTATAAGATCATTCATTAAATGTTTGTAGTCTTTCATGAAGAGTTGATTTACCAGGCACCATATTCCCCATTGATGAAATAAAATGCATTTATCCTAATTCATACTTTCATCCAGAGGTAAAGAATCTTTCGGATACTAATGAAAATGTGTCATCTTGTCAGTCTTTGGTATATGGTAGATTTTCAAAACCAGGTGGAGAGAAATGAATCGAATATAGGCATCTATTCCAATCATTATGGAACTCATTTTTGTACATTCTACAAATTGTTCACTAGCTTTTGTTCTTAGTTTTAAAATATGTGGATTTGTATTTGTTATGATCTACTTCTAAGCAAAAACTTGTAGGATACTAAGGAGTGAGTTTGTGAGCGTGTGTTCTACTGGGTAGGTAGGTGACTATCAGGTGACCATTCATGAGTGCTTGCTATACGCCAGGAACATGCTTTGACCCTTATAATTTATTAAAAAGAAAGTATGTTTCTATAAAGATAAAAGTTGCTTTTACCTCCTGAAAACTTTTGATCATATATACGTATATATATATATATACACATATATATATACGTACGTATACACATGCCATTTTTTAAAACTAAAGCATACAAAAGAGTCTGGCTTTTTAGGTTTTTAAGAAATAATGTTTCATCATCTTACTAAATCTAAGCAGAGAAAAAATACTTGAAATTTATAATATTTCATATCCATAAGTCCTACCTAAAATGTTTTTCAGTATGGATCAACCAGAGTTGTGTATCGTGGAGTAGTTAAAGAGAATACTTTTAAGAGTCTTACAGAAGTTGAAAAATATAATTCTCAAAATCTCAGATCAACTTGGAATAGAATGGGGGTAGGTAAAATGCAATTGACTTTTTTGAGTCATGTATATTGGCCCCATAATCTTGTTCCTGAGGTTCAGTTTGTAGAAAGTCCCAGATTGGAAAGTATCATGGCATCTCAAACCTTCCAAATGCCCATAATGAGATATTTTGATTTTGAAAATGAGTTTTTGTTCCTAGTTTGCACATTGATGTTAGTGGGTTGGTATATTCCTTTCCTCCAATTTTTCTGCTTTGTGTGATTATTTCTGCAAAACCCTCAGAACAGTAAAAGTCCAATAGGTACGAATATCACTGCTCTATAACTAATTATGTCCTTGAACTGAAAAGCAGAGATCGGTAGATTTTAGTATCAGTCTAACTGCAGCAGTTTGCAGTTTAGACAACCCTGTGACAATGTTTTATTGCTCCCCAAATATTTTCTCTATTAAAGCAAAGCATTTGACATAGTCAATAATTTATTAGGTAGTGATAACAAGGTAGCAGGATACATATTTTGAAGTCATGGCAAGGATGTACAATAAATATTTGGTGACTTGTTGAAATTATCTTGTCACTCTCTTCTCTAAACCAGAAAGGGATGAGCAGTATTATTGTACATACATGAAAGTATTTACTTTTATAGAAATGCTTATGATTAATGCCACTTCAGTTTTGTACTTCCTTTAACTTATAACGTTATTCTTTCTCTGTCATGGAAAATGTTCAAGATAAATTCCAATGCATCATGTTTTTCCTTCTAAGAGACAGCAATTATTTCTGAAGTGACATATTGTGGGTACAGTGAATTACTCTGTTTGAAATGTGGAGTATCATATAAAATGAGAAATAATTATATTAATTGATAGAAGGAATGCTGATATGGAAAAAGCCTATTAATTAAGGGCTGCCTGTGATATATTGGACTTAAAAATCAGGTTTAAGCCGGAGATTAGAGGAAGCATCATCATCTCAGGTGACAATGAGTGCCTCATCAATGTCTATGCACATAGACCTCTTTTATTCTTCCTATTGACATCGAATGGAAGTAGTCTAGGCACACATATCTGCATGTGAATGTGTCTGGTTACTGTAATAATTTTACTAGAAAACTCACCTATCTATGCCTGCTGCTTCTCACAGAGTACAACTTTATCAACTTAAAGCTGACCTGATTCTTCCTCTAGTATTTGTATTGTGAGTGAGCTAGTTCTTTTCATTTAGACTGTCTGTTATGTGGTTTTTTTTTTTTTTGTACTGATGGTAAAATAGCATTAGGTAAGAGACAAGAGTTTATGGGACTATTCTCACAGGTTGTTGTAGACTCCTTGAAATTGTTTATGATGAAAACTGATTAAAGGGATCAGCAGTTAGCATAATGGCTATGTCTCTGAACTTCCATGTAGTTGACCATGGTTCGAGTCCCGGACCCAATGGCTTAGACTCACGCTGGGTGCATGTGTGTGTGTGCCCAAGATCCCAAGAGGAGAATGGAGGAGAAGGGATTGTGGCATGGCCATCCCCCCTGGGGGGCGGTTCTCGCTTTCTGTCTCTATGTCTCTCTCTTTCTGGCAAGTGCACGCACCCTATTATTCTTTCTCTGTCATGGAAAATGTTCAAGATAAATTCCAATGCATCATGTTTTTCCTTCTAAGAGACAGCAATTATTTCTGAAGTGACATATTGTGGGTACAGTGAATTACTCTGTTTGAAATGTGGAGTATCATATAAAATGAGAAATAATTATATTAATTGATAGAAGGAATGCTGATATGGAAAAAGCCTATTAATTAAGGGCTGCCTGTGATATATTGGACTTAAAAATCAGGTTTAAGCCGGAGATTAGAGGAAGCATCATCATCTCAGGTGACAATGAGTGCCTCATCAATGTCTATGCACATAGACCTCTTTTATTCTTCCTATTGACATCGAATGGAAGTAGTCTAGGCACACATATCTGCATGTGAATGTGTCTGGTTACTGTAAT